AACTTTGATTGAAGGTAAGGAGGAAGAGAAAAAAGAGGGAAGACTTGGAGAGAGGGGAGACAAGAGATCGACGTGCAGATGAAAAAATGAAAATCAAGTATATGATTTGATGGATGAGTATGGGAGGAAGGAAAGAGGGAAGAGAAACTGAAAAACTAAAAAGTAAGACAAGTCACGTGAAGAAGTAAGGATAGAGAATGAGAAATGAAAGGTGAAAAAAAATTAATGGGTTATACATGAAGAGGAGAGAGAATAAAAGAAAATGAATAAAGAGTTAAATATTATTTTTTAGTTAAATAAGAATATTTTTATGCATTTTCATTTAATTACATTATTTTAATTATTATCGACTTGATCCTTATTTGACCTTGATATAACCCATTAACCTTTGAATTAGTGTCTTGACTAGTTTGTTGATTGGTTCAGTTTTTTGTTCCTTGATAAATATTGTACAGTTCGAGATATTTAATACACAACGTATTATTCACTCATTTGTTTGTCTTTTCTGCCCTATTCTCTCTCATTTTCTTTTACTCACATCAACAACAAAATTCAAATTCACAACTTTGTGGATTATAAGTTAAGAGCAGTTTTTGTTAGTAGATTACGGTTAAAATTTTACTCGTAAACTTTTCACAAAATGTGTGCAATGGTTGTTTTTCCAGAACTCATTTGAATTAAATCAAATAATTTAGTTGAAAGATTAATCATAATTAAAAAAAAAAGAGAAAGTTTAAAATCATAAAAACTACTATCATGGTTTTAAAAAAAAAAAAAAACTTACATCATAAACAACCCATGTTAGAAAGGCTTTGCACATCTAGCATGGTTTAAAGATAAAAAACTTATCCTATTTAAGTAGATGGAATCAGTTCATATTAATCTTTAACTTAGACTTTGGACTTTCAAAATTCAGAAATACCATTCAACCATTAGCCCAAACAAAAACTCATACTTTCAAACATATAAATTGATAAATAATTTCAAAATAAGCTATGGAGTTCCTTTAATCGAAAGTCAACATTTTTGAAAAAGTGTCATATGCAAAATCCTAAAGGTCTCTGGCTTTCTAACAATAGCCCCATCAAATAACAACAATAAAAAAGTATTAGTTTACAAAATCAGAATAAACGAACTCTATGTGGCAATATATAATAACTCAATACATAAAACAAAAACAAAGAGGCCATACAAACTATAAGAACATGCTACGCCATAAGAAGCTGTTAGACTATCAACTGAAAACATTAAAAACCAAGGAGTGAGAGAAAAGCCTTTACAACCACCTTTTCAATTTATCATACATATTAACATGTGCTTGTAAGGTGTCAAATGCGACAGTTATCAAATGTAAAAAAATATAGATATCAATAGAATTATAAAGCATGTGTGCAAAAATAATCTCAATTATACAAACCCCCACTTTTGGAGTTAATACACAAGCCACATAAGTTTATCCCTTATTATAGGGATCAATCAGATATATGGGTTTATCCCTCACTTTGAGAGATGAATAAGGAGCCACAAGAACCTATCCCTCATAATGAGAGACAAAAGAAGCCAATTAATGAGCATCAATGGCAGCCTTACTAAGTGGTAAAACAAGATTCAACCCAAAACCTAACAACATTCAATCAATCACAATATAACCAGAAATATAATAATATTTTCTTGATATAATTCATAAGATATAAATTATATAATATATATTTTTTCAAATTTCTCAATCACAATTTTAAAATGTCTCACAAGATAATTTTTATAGCTCAAAAAGTATAACATAGCTCATCAAATTTCAAATAACATATTATTATTTCAAAATAATAAAATACTTATAAACAACATAGTAGCACATATAACAAGTGAAAAGTGATTACCTGCTTATCTCTCACCAAAGCAAAGAAAAGGATTACTATAAGGTCAACCCCATGTTCAAACCATTAATTAATCTATACAATTAATGTAAATCACATATTAATATAAGTTAATTGATTAATTAATTAAGCTTATCTATTAGTTAAAGTTTCTAATTTAATTTTTTATTCTAAATTTCAAAAACTCTTATAACTCAAAATTAAGTATTTTAACACTAACTTGCAATTTCTTCACCTCCCAAATTACTCATTTACATCCTCCGATTATTAACTTTAATAAAAACATTTTTTAAAAATTTCTAAATATGAAATTATTATATTTTAAATTTTAAAAATCATTTAAACCTCAAAACTAAGCCATTATATTAAAAATTCAATAGTATCTCAAATATACATAAATTAATTTTATGAGAAATGCCATAGTATAAATATCATATTTCTCACAAATAAGAAGCTTTTAAGTTAAAATAATTATTTTAAAATCCCTATTCAACCAATAAACAGAACCAAATTGATAGAAATGATATACTAAATTAGTTCTACAATAATATGTTCATAAAAAATTTTCTCTAAATAGTACAAAATTACTATTATTAGATCAACCTAAATTAGTAGAAGGAAAAATTCTAATTAAATCCATTTGAAATAGCAAAATTCTAATTTAAGCTTACACTTTTAACAAATTCTTAATTAGGCCAAGAGGCCTGACTAGGGATTTCTAAATGTTGCTAAAAGACCAAAATGCCCTTCATAATTAAAAAGCCTAATTTTAGTTTTAATTCTTTTAATTGAATTTAACTAACATGTTTTTTTCTTTAAACATTATCACATGAAAATTTGGCCAAGAAAATTTTCATATGAAAAAGAAAAAAGAAAAATAACGATTATAGCCAATAAAAAATAATTGAAAATTCAAGATAAAAATACATAATTTCTAGATATCTATAGAATTGCAAAAATATGGGAACTAATAAAAATTTTACGATTTCAAATGTAAAAGATTAACAAGATCAAAGATTTTTTTTTTTTGTGTGAGAAAAAGACCAAATCAAAGATTCATGGAATTCTTGAATATCTATCAAAATTAATTTTACTATTTCACAACTTACAGTGAGACTCATTAATTCATCTTCAATTTTCCGGTCTTCAACATTTATTCAATATCAAATTTTTATTATATAGAAAAATAAAAGGCTATAAATTCTAGAGTTGACATAAGGTTTACAATTACAAAACACACATTTGACATAAAATCTAAGAAAGATCACGTTCTCATTAGTAAATCTACTAGAATAATTAAAACTAAAATTAGATTTACACCTACATTCAATTTTCCTTTTTGATTACAAAGAGGCCTTCCGGTCTTTTAGCAACATTTGAAAATCCCTAATAAGGCCTCTTAGCATAATTAGGAATTCTTTAAAAGTATAAGCCTTAATTGAAATTTTATTATTTTAGATAGATTTAATTGGGATTTTCCCTTAGTAGAACAACTTTTATTAAAAAAAATTGTGATTAGAAATAGTTTTACGTACTAAAAAATTTGCAATAGAAAATCTTAAGCTGAGAAAATGGAGGAGTGACATATGGAGAGGAAGTGGAAAATGACATGGCGGTAAAAAAAAAAAACGCATTTTAAAAGGAAGAAATGACAATTTTTTTTTGGCCAAAAGAAGAAATGACAGTTTAGAATCCCATTTTTTCCCCTAATTTTCACCCACTTTTTTTCATTATTTTTATTTAATAATTTCTTTCACCTTTAATTAATTAAATTTCTTTTTTTTTTCATAAATCATATTTTAGGTAAAAAAAATCTCTTAATTAATTATAAGATAAAATTATATTTATCATAAAATAATTATTATTTCTAAATATTTGAATTTTAGAAATAAAAATTAGGATGTTATAATGTACACCCGGCACTATATTATTTAATTTGGGCACAAAATTATACCTGAAATTTTCTGAATAGAATAAACTATACCACTTCACTAATTGTTCTAAACAGCCGATAATTTTTTAATTTGGGCAAAAGCTAAAAATTTTGTTGGTTGGAGTGAGAATTGCTCCATTTTTAAAATGTTAGAGGTGAAATTGTATCACTAAATATTTTAAGATGATTGATACATTTGTGAAAATAATTCAAAACACTTAGTGTACATTAGCCTTTTTTTTATATAAATTATTAAATCACAATATGTCATTTCAATTAATTTGAAAGATTAAATTTGAAGTGAGAATAAAATGGAAGATAAGCACCATGGAAAATATCGGATAAACACACATAACAAGTGGAATTTTTGCTACCACGCTCGAGGCTTACGTGCGCACATCCCTGCACGTGCATATGTCATATTGGCTTAGCTACTTCTGTGTTTGTGTCTTTCAGCAATAATTTCTTTTAAACAAAATCATGTCCATGATTAAAACATTCGAAATCGAATTTGTCATTCAACTGGTTGAAACATTGATTTGAGCACAGAATCAATCATAATTAAAATAATATTTTCTGTTTTTTTTATGACTCAGGATATATTCAAATCATTTTAGATTTAAGAATATTTTTTATCAAGCTAAAAGTATTAAGATCAAAATCCTCCCAATAAATACGCTATTCGAGATTCGGACTTGTGTTCCCTCAAATAGAAGGGGTCTTAAATATAAGCAACTACTTTGACTTGAAATTCTAAACTACGATGCATTTTTGTCTCCAATAAATATATATTATATTAATTACTCCTCTAATTTTTAATATGTAATCTAATTGTTGAGTTGATTTTAGTTCTAAATAGCATATTTATTTTTCATATTTATCATTTTTTTCTAAATTTTCCTTATAGATATTCCCTCAACCATAATTAAGTAGAAGAGGGAGGGAGGATATAAGAAAGATAATTATGGTGTTTTAGAAAAAATATGTCATAGTTCTTATAATTAATTAACTTACTTAACTTTCTTAATCTAATCAAATTAGTTAAATAGGTTTTATATTAAGAACTAGAAGAGTATCACATATTCTCCCTTGCTTTTTTGTTTTTCAATAAATAAGAGTATGTTTAGTACATACACCAACATTTAGCTGCCGCATATGTATAAAAGATTGGAGGAAGCATAGTTTATTTAAAAAAATATAATTAGGTTCATTAAAAATAATAAGGGTTAATTAATCTGTAAATCCTTATAGTTTCAACCAATTTTGAATCAGATCCTTATAATTTTTTTTTCTTTTTATTAGGTCCTTATTCTTTCACATGTTTTTAATTAGGTCTTTGCATTTATTTTTCTTTTTATAACATCCTTATAATTTCCCTAAATTCTTAATCAGGTCCATGTTGTTTTAATTTTTATTTATTAGTTAAATATAAACTTAATTAATTAGATTACTGAAATATAAAATATTAATAATTAAATTAAATTAATATAAGTAATATAATTAATTAATTCAGATAAATTTTTTAAAACAAATAATATTTTCTTGCTGGCAAAAAATAAAATTATTATAATAATTCATTATTTTTAGAATATTATTGTTTATAAACTAATATTAAATAATATATACTATTTTATGATTATAGAATAGTATTATTAGAATTCATAAAATGAAGAGTAAAAAATTCAGGGACTTAATTAAAAATGAGATGAACTTATAAGAACTTTATAAAGAAAAAATAAATACAAGGACCTAATTAAAAAGATGTGAAAGTATAAGGACCTAATAAAAAGAAATAAAATTATAGGGACCTGATTCAAAATCGGTTAAAACTATAGGGACTTATAGATTAATTATCCAATAATAATATTAAATAAAAAAATGACTTAACAATAAATAAAAACATTCAAGTATAAATTTCATATAATCTAATAAAATAAAAGAATTACTATTTTTTTAAAAAACTAGAACGATATGGTTTCAAACCCAGGACAAAAATATTCTATCAAGTTTAATCCATTTGAAACTTGAGTTTTGATCCAACCAACTATTTTTTTTTTTGTTACGCATATATATATTTTTATTAGAGACAATCTTTATCAACAATTGGAACCAACGTAAATATTAATTCACTGATTTATTGATTTGAGCAATTGACTGATTTAAAAAAAAAAAAAAACAGAAAGGTCGACCTAATTTATATAGCATGTTTTTTGGGTTTTTTTGGGGGGGGGGGGGGGGGGGGATGTGAATATTAGAAAGTTGGAAATCGCAGGAAGCGGGATGATCATTCCTTCAGCTTGTCCAAAACCCCTTTGTCCTGGTGAGGGTGCTCAGCGGAAGACACGTGGGTTCCTTGAGATCCTCCGTTGGAATTAACATGGCCTACCAGAAACAGTTTTTTTTTAAAAAAAAGAAAAAATCAATGTCAATATAAAGATCAAATATTGTTATTTATAAATTACGAATAATACAGTGTTTATTGTTCAAAATTTTTTTAGTAAAAGGCGAAAGAATCAATTTTGAATGATACACATGAGATCATAGCATAATTAAATTGAGAGATAAAATTTTACAGCGGCAGAATTAGAGATTGAATATGTAATCATAGCTTATATTCATTTTTTTTTTTAGATAATTTAACTTTTAAATTTTCAGATAGTAATGTTAATTAATTTCAAAATTATAAATATTATATAATTATGTTGTTTTATTTTAAAAAAACAACTTGGATATATATTCAAATTAAACATGACCGCCTTAATTACTTATCTTTCAATAGCCAGGCACCAAAATCAAATTCCACCAAGTTCTGAGAAATATAAAGTAGTGAATCTAGAAAGTGTGGAATTTATCTATTTTAATTTTACTTGAGCTCGACTTAACATTATTTTTGCTAACAAAATAAAAACACAGCACTTCAGTAAAATTTTAAAGAAAAAATTATATTGAAATAAAACTAAAAAAGTGACAATCTGTTATTTTCTTTAAAAACGACTATATATTATTTAATATTATTATATCAAATTTGAGGGACTAAACTGAAATTTGATGTAGGGGGTGTTTGGGAAGTTGTAAATCAAGAAAAACTCATTCACATATTTACTTCGTATACCGTAAAATTACTTTTAAAACTATGGTTTTGTTTTCATCCAAGCACCCTGAAAACTAAGATGATTAAGGATCCGTTTGTGACAGTGTTTAGACATTCTAAACGTGTGATTGTATGAGAAAACGTGCAATCTATACATGGCGTTTGGGTTGAAGCACTTTGAATTTTGTTTTTGCATAAAAAGCTATAAATTATAAGTATAAATTATCTACTCATGACTTATCATTTTTTGCTTTTGAAACATAGAGAGAGAGAGAGTTAAGAAATTTACTACTTTCCCTTATTTTTATTATAAGTCTTAAATAACTACTTTATGGATAATAAAAAAATTAGTTAAAATTAGTTAAAAGTAATAAATGAGTTAGAAATATTTTTATTTGGGAGAATGACATTGAGGTCCCACAGAAGCCAAAATACAGCAAAAAGGTCCCCTGAAATGTCATAATGTTTCTGAAGTCCCAAAGGGACTTAGATGCAATTTTCAGAATCTGGAAATTACCTTCTTGCCCTGCCCTAAGCCATCAGAAACGAAGAAGCAGAAATTCATTTGGGTGAGAGTTCCCGCGCAATATGCTTGAGAAAGAAGACATTGGGAAAGAGGGAAGGAGCCATTGATGATGAAATATCCTCTCTATTACCATTAGTGAACTCCAAAGAGCTTCCATGTGAATCTCCACAAACTTTCAGGTGTGAAACTTTCTTTCCTCTTCTCTCCTACCTTTCTTGACAGATTGTGGTTTTATTTGGAAATGGGATTCACAAGTTAATCAATAGAAAAGCTGTGTTTTTGGTTGGTGTGTGTTGGTGATTTAAGTTGGGTGTGTAGGATAATCATGGGTGCTCTGTTTTTGAGTTGCTTGTGGGTGGTTTTGCTCTGTTCTGATGCTAGTTCAGTGGCAAAGGAAGAAAAAGATGAAGGTTACTGTGGGTGGAAACCCTTAGTACGAAATGGGATATTGTGTTGTCAATCAGGCCACGATAGTTGTCAATGCGTGCCGCGACAGTTGTTAATATAGCTCCTTGACTTGTCAATGACAGTTGCGTGATTCTTGATGCAGGTTTATCACTGTGGAAGATGCAAAGAGTTTGGACACACTGCCAAGACATGCAAGAACCCAAATCCCATCTGAGAACATAATGAAATCAGCTATTTTTTGTATATGGATGTGAAGGGAATATTTTGTAAATGGTGTGAAGGGAATTTTTTGTAAATGGATACACACCAATAGTTAGTTTCTCGTAATTACATGCAACCCCTGTGTTTTTTTGGGATGGGTTGTGAATTAGGTGTAGTTTCATGTATATGAAGGTGTAAATGAAACTTGACTATGAATTGGCATGTTAGATTCTGCTGTCATTTAAGCTGTCATTACCTGCACCTTGTATTGTCATTAGACCTGTTATGACTTGTCAACGGAGCACTGTCACTTGTCAATTAATTTGCTGATATAAGTTGTCAACAATATGAATTCAAGTTACATAACTTGTTTTAGTAACATATGATATTCTCAATCACTGTGTCATATTATATTTTTGGTTATATTGTCATATATAATCATTATTAATAAAGTGTCAATGGTAGCACTGTGACTTGTCAATGGTGGCATAGTGACTTGTCAATCATGGCACTTAGACCTGTCAATGGTGGCACTAAGACTTGTCAATGGTGGCCCTGTGACTTGTCAATGGTGGCACTATGACTTGTCGTTGGTGGCACACGGACTTGTCATTGGTGGCAATGTGACTTGTCAATGGTGGCATTGTGACTTGTCAATGGTAGCACACTGACTTGTCGTTGGTGGCACCATGGCTTGTCAATGGTGGCACACGGACTTGTCATTGGTGGCAATGTAACTTGTCAATGGTGGCGTTATGACTTGTCAATGGTAGCACACTGACTTGTCATTGGTGGCACCATGGCTTGTCAATGGTGTCACACGAACTTGTCATTGGTGCCAATGTGCTTATCAATAATGGAACTATGACTTGTCAATGGTGGCACACTGACTTGTCATTGGTGGCACACTGACTTGTCAATGGTAGCACACTGACTTGTCGTTGGTGGCACCATGCTTGTCAATAGTGTCACACGAACTTATCATTGGTGCCAATGTGGCTTATCAATAGTGGCACTATGACTTGTCAATGGTGCCACACTGACTTGTCGTTGGTGGCACACTGACTTGTCAATGGTGGCACACTGACTTGTCATTGGTGGCACACTAACTTGTCAATAGTAGCACACTGACTTGTCGTTGGTGGCGCCATGGCTTGTCAATGGTGGCACACGGACTTGTCATTGGTGGCACTATGACTTGTCAATAGTAGCACACTGACTTGTCGTTGGTGGCACCATGGCTTGTCAATGGTGTCACACGGACTTGTCATTGGTGGCAATGTGACTTGTCAATGGTTACATAACTTGTTATATCACTTGTCATTAACTCATGTTATATTACTTATTAATATTACATAAATTTATCGATATCAATAAAGATATAAAATAAAAAAAATAAAAATGTGACTTGTGCCCAAGAAATTGGTATCATAACATCTAATAACAAAGGTAATAATATTATAAACATAATTTGATCAGTTTGTTACAAAAGGACCTATTGACCATTAAGCTATTGCCACTCATGACAAACACCCTTAGGTGCCAATCATCTCACAACACATCCTGGCATAACATAACAAAAAATTAATTGACTCCTCTATTTCCTCCTCTTGCTCTTGTTATAGTCCGATAGCAATGACATCACTTCATCCCTATGTTCATTATGGGGATGGGTAACCAACCACCACAAACAGCCAACCTTCAACTCTTGCAATTCATCATTGGAGTATCGTGGCATGGTATATCCTGCAGCATCACGAGCAGTGCCATCCCACTCTTGTAGCCAAGAGAGGACATGAACTCCACATGAATCACTGCCAAGCAAATTCAATATGTAAGCAGCATGCAATTTTTATTGTGAACAAACACAACATAACACAATCAAACAGAACAACTACACTCACGTATCATTCTGCACATAAACTTTAGCCCATTTCACTTCGTTGCCAATGTTGTCCTCATTGGCAAACAATTCTGGCTTAACAGCACGCAACATCGTATGGAAACAGTTCATCTGCAAAAAAAACACATAATCAAAAGGTTTTACTAACAACACAGCATCCAGTGACAAGGGACAGAGCATATTGTGACAAGTAACACAGCATCCAGTGACAAGGGACAAAGCATCCAGTAACAAAAAACAGCATCCACTAACAACTAACAGAGCATCCACTGAGAAATGACAGAGCATCCAATGACAAGTAATAGCATCCAGTGACAAGTAACAGAGCATGCAGTGACAACTAACAGAGCATGCAGTGACAACTAACAGAGCATGCAGTGACAACTAACACAACATCTAGTCAACTAAGCATCCAGTGACAACTAACACAGCATGTGATGACAACTAACATAGCATCCAGTGACAACTAACAGGGCACGTGATAACAACTAACACAGCATCCAGTGACAACTAACACAGCATCCAGTGACAACTAACACAGCATCCAGTGACAACTAATAGAGCATGCAGTGACAACTACGCAGACTGCTAGTGACAACTATAAGACTAGTCATTGACAAGTATGACAGCAGCAAATAAATACACACAGTCTGTGTTGCCATAAAGTGTTTGGGATTGAAGTGCCCTTTAGTCGTCCTCTTTTTCTTCTTCGCATCATGTTGCTGCTCACTCCCCTTCTTCTTTGCTTCTTCTTCCTCTGCTTGTAATCTTATGAGTGTGATGCTATCAACCAAGGAGTCAAGGGCATAGAAGGTCATGGTCTTTGTCTCCAACACATAACAAAACCAATGATCTTCAAATAACGTAGGACCGAAAAGGAAATCGCAATCCCCTATATTGTACCCAATATATTTAGGTAATATTTCCCTTTCATGGTCCTCCCATTTCCATCTTAAAGGATTGGCTACCATCTTTTGCATGAAATCTGCAGAAAATATATGCCGGTTCACTCTCCCCTCTTTATCCTTTTGATCTCCAACAAATGTCCTTGCCACCATAGTCATAAACTGAAATGACAATATAAAGAAATTACAACTCTTTACCATCAAATAACTCATTCTAATGTTAACTATATACATGTGACTTACCCTATCGTTTATCCATCTTCTACGTTGGAGACATTGCAGCTCACCACGGGTTAGAAAGTATCCATACATCGATACAAAGTATCTAATGTAAATAAAACAATTATGAAGTCAGTAAATTCTGTAACATAATATAAATTTGGACACCAAAACATAATACTTACTGCTTTTGGTCCTCTTCAGCACACCTTGCTGTACACATGTCAAATAAAGCTTGCCTATCATCCATTGTTCTCTTTTTCCCAGGCTTAGTTTTGATTTCCAGAAATGGAGACCTAAGAGCCTTGCCCTTGCTTATGACCCTTGTTGATTTCCTCACATATATTTTCCCTTCCCCTTGCTTGTCCTCTTCATCCTCTTCATTCTCTTCTTCTCCTGCATTTCCTTCTTCATCTTCTTTGTCTTCTTCTTCTCCTTTGTCCTCTTCATCCTCTTCTTCTCTTCTTTTTTGTTCTTCCTCTTTTTTGTCCTCTTGTAGCTCTTTCACCTCTTCATTCTCTTCTTCTCTTTCACTTTCTTCTCCACCCATCTCCTTTTTTGATTGAGTTTTTTGTTCTTCTTCTTCATTTCTATCCTCTTCCGATTCAGTTCCTTCTTCCTCAATTTCCTCTTCCTCCGATTCACTTCCTTTGACCCCTTTTTCCTCTTCTGATTTCGATTCTTCATCATCATCTTTCTCCTCTTCACTTGCACTGCCACTATCCTTCATTAGTCTTGACTGAAGGGCCATCATCTCCTCTCCCAGCATTGACACTAATCGGGCATATGTTTTCTTGATCTCCTATACAAGTAAAATTCAGAACTTTAATATGTAAGCAACAGAAAAAAAAAAAGTACATTAAGCCTCCAAGTCCACATACCGGGTGAGTTAAATTTTCTGGATCAAAACTGGTGGCTTGACTAGCCGGATGCAATATTCCTTGATCGCTCTCCTTCTCCATATTAACTCTTTGCTGCACTTTCTTTTCATCCCAAAATGCAAGAGCATGCTCAACATGTGAAGCTTTTGTTTCCCCAAGTGGAAACTTTTGTAGACAATACATCTGCATGTCACATGAATGATAAGTTAACAGCAGCCATTGACAACATTCAGACCATAAAATGAAATGATAACAGAAATATACAAATTATAATAGCACTTACTTGTAGGAAGTATAGACAACCTGGCACATTCTTCTTCTTTTCAGTCAGCTTGCCTTTTTCTAATTGTTTTTTGTACACTCCAATGCCCTTGTATAGTTCATTCAGCACATAAGATGACCAATCAAACCGACCCAATCTATCCTTGGTTGATAGTATGACCTTCAACAAATAATCAGTGACACAAATACTGGCATTAGGACACAACAATGTTCCCAATGCATACATGACAAACAGCATCTCAAAATTTTCATCTTGTTTGTCCTCAGTCAACAATGACGCTATCTTCTTGTATGGAACATTACCATACACAACCCTCCATTGCTTGAACACTTCATCTTCACCACTCACAGCTACTTTAATCTCTTCTCCCTTTATTGGCAGCCCCATAAAGTCATGCACATCATTTGCCCTCATTTTCCTTCTCTTCCCTCTTATGGAAATGCTTTTTGTTGGAAGGTCGAATGCACACATAAACTCTCCACACAATTCTCTTTGAATTGTGTGGCAACATACTTCAATCAACTTATCAAAACCTATCTTTTTAGCCTGTCCATTAGTTCCTTCCTCTCTTTGATATGCTTGCAAACTTGGATGAACCGTTTAGGTGCACATCTTGTGTAGAAAGGAACTATATACTTTTTGGACTTTGTGGGAGCTCTTTGTTCTTTGGCCCTTTTACAATATTCCTCTTTTTGTTGCTCAGATAATTTGTCCCAAGCATTTCTCACATGCTGATTCCTGGATTCAAGTGATTCATACTTCCTCGAGCTTTTCTTATGGAATTCCTCTGTAAACAAGGCATAACCAGAAAAATTACAGCTTCTTTGTCCACTTTTGTTGGTTCTATTCTTCCCCATCTTCTTAACCTGCAAAAGAAAATTGATTTAAAAGCACTACCAAACAGAGAAAAAAAAATCTAACACTTAAAAAGGTTCTTGAGCCAAAACAAAATAATGAAGTACCAGAAACTTACGCAAGAGTCATCTAATATGGAAGCAAATTAAATCAAATGTGAGGGTCCAACACCGTATAAATAGAGTTGTTACAGTTCGGGGCAAAAAAATAGTATATTTTGTTTACAATCACAGAAGGTTTTAGGGCAAGCCTCAACTGGGAAAAAATCAAAATAAATCAAGTAACTCTCCTAAGTCGTAGCGCCCTTCAAATCAATATATCCATCAACATATGCTACTTTTGTGGTTTGTCTAATGCACATTAATAATAATCTGCCATTTGTTTTTATCTGATGCAGCAGTTCTGTATGTTAAGTATTGTAGCACAAAGTGTGTTTTCATTTGGCACCAAAGAACAACAACAGAAAATTAAGATTTATTAAAAAGAAAAAAAAAGGAGAATCATGGACAATGAAATTCTATGACATGAAACTTCATCAGATGTCTCGTATTCCCCAGCCAAATCAATAAGTCAACAATCTTATATGAAAGCTGAAATAGTTATGCATGACTCATTTCCAGTTAAAATACGTGGACAAGAAAATGTTAAAGAAGATTACACTACCAAAATGGGACTTGCGTCCATGACATTGTGTAAGGAAAAAAAATGTATTGGCATTTTCAGTGCCTCTGCCACAAGTAGAATTGCCTTTCATACCTTCCCAATCACAAACGGGGATTTGAATAAAAATAAAAACCAATGGGGCTAACAGTCAATGTAGAATATCTGGTCAGTTTTCATATACTTTAAAGAAGGAATTGCGTGCGAAAAACTTGGACTGGTATTTGAAGATCATGATGACATTTGATTCTTTGAAGAAACTCACCCTATATGGATCCAGCTGGTTGCTCTCCACGGGACAGAGGATGTGGAAATTCACTAGTAGGTCTCAAGGAAGAAGACTGATGCAGATTCAAATTTACCGCAAAACAATACTAATAAACAACTTTTTCTTTAAAAAAAAAACAAGGATAAAATTTTGTAGACTAGAAAATGTTAAAGAAGTAAGATTACATTGCCAAGATGAGACTTGCGTCCATGACATTGTGAAAGGAAAGGCATCGATATGACCTAAAATTGAATGTTGCATTGTTCATCATTGAAGTACTCTATATGATAAACAGATGTATACCTGACTAGCACAATTGCAAGAAGTATAAGATATCATATCATTACATTACAGAAAGACCAAATTTATTAGTGAAGTATTTTTCTCTGAAAAGTTTGAAAACAAGTAAAATTGCCCTTCATACCTTCTCAATATCAAAAGGGATAGTGCATAAAAATGAAAATCCATGGGGCTAAGGGTCAATGTAGAATATCTAGTCAGTTGTCATATACTTTGTAGAAGGAATAGTGCGTGAAAAACTTGGATTGGTATTTGAAGATCATGGTGACTTCTTGATTCTTTGAAGAAAGCATTTTTAGATCTTTTCCCAGTTCATAATTACATTTTTCTGTCAACCATTGAGGATATTTACACTGTCTTCCTGTAACCCAGGCGAGATAGTTGCACCGGCTTGTATCCAGTTTAAACTAGAATTACAGTGTAACATAGAATATGAAAAAGTTGCTGGTAAGTCGTAGCGCCCTTCAAATCAATATATCCATCAACATATGGTAGTTAACACCAGGTCATATTATTTACCACTCATCATAAATAATATCATTTAGCTCATATTCTAATTTTGCAATGTACTTACAAGTGTGATATAAATTAGCCAAACGAAATATCGTTGTTGCTTCGCTGTTCTCCTCAATATCAACGACGAGCATTCAATGACTTTGGGTCACTATTTTCGGCGGGTTGTGAGTCGATTTTCAGCACCACGGTGGGTTTTCACCGATTTTTCAACACCGCAAAGCCACCGAGACCATTCAAATTTCTTCGGTCGAACAAAAGAGCCACCACGACGAGCATTCAACCACTTCGGCTTCCGATTTTTGGCGGGTTGTGAGGGGAATTTGAGCACTGCGGTGGGTTTTCACTGGATTTCCAGCAGCACGAAGGCGCAACACAATTTCAGCTTTCTTCCGGTCGAACGAAAAACAGAGGCTCTAATCTCCCTTCAGCATTTTCGAATCTCATAAGCCAGGGCAAGAGGGTAATTTCCAGATTCTGAAAATTGCATCTAAGTCCCTTTGGGACTTCAGAAACATTATGACATTTCAGGGGACCTTTTTGCTGTATTTTGGCTTCTGTGGGACCTCAATGTCATTCTCCCTTTTTATTTTCAAATATATTCTGATAATAAATAAATAAATAAAATAAAATATATGAGATCTACATAAGCTTATAAATTCAAATTGAAATTAATAAGATGGATCACACCCTAAAATTTAGAGCTTACAAATGCTCGAAAGTGACAATCTGTCATTTTTTTAAATGATCATACATTATTTAATATTATTATGTCAAATTCAAGAGATTAAACTGAAATTTAATGTGCTGATTAAAAAAAAAAACTAAAATTTGATGTAAACTTAGATGATTAAATATACATATACTTTTGGCTTTAAATAAAAAGTTATTAATTCATTACAAATGCTCGAAAGTGACAATCTGTCATTTTTTTAAATGATCATACATTATTTAATATTATTATGTCAAATTCAAGAGATTAAACTGAAATTTAATGTGCTGATTAAAAAAAAACTAAAATTTGATGTAAACTTAGATGATTAAATATACATATACTTTTGGCTTTAAATAAAAAGTTATTAATTCACAGGTAAATATAAAACACTTTTGTATGAACCATACATAATCCAACAAAAATAGAGTTATTAAAATATGAATTTTGGCATATTATCATTTTTTTTCAAATTCAAAAGGATGCTGTTTTAGGCTTAACAAAGAAAAACATGAATAATTATAGATCCGATAAATAATTAAATTAATACCAAATCCAACATGAATAAAATAGAATCAAAATTAATTTTCCAACATTACCATGAGCTACATCATCACCATGATGTCCATGCTCAGCATCTTCCACTTCGTCTTCATCCTGAAGATGAGAAGAACTCAGAAGAACACCATGGAGAAGCCTGCCATGATGCCCAGCAATGGCAGTCGCCGTGTGATTATTCTTAGGGTTTGCATATTTCATAGAACTCTTCATCTCTCTATCTTACTCTTTTTCCCTCACTCACCTTAATTATTGCTTTCTCTTCCTATACACACACACACACACACACACGCCGACCGAGTATTTGTTTTTATTAATTTAAAGTTTGGCGGTAAAATAAGATAAGGCCATTTTTATTTTTTAAGGGTGAGAAAGAAAAAGTGTGTCATATTAATGTGTTTTGTAGTAACATGATGCTTTTACATGTTCTCTTGGGAAAATTTCATGAAAGTACCTTTTGAAATAATAAAACTCAAAAAAGTTATACCGATTTTACAAAATTCTAAACTAGCACTTTATGATCAATATGAAATTTAAAAATGTTTGTGTTTTTACAGTTTTGTTCCTCTTTTTTTTTTTTTTAAAAAAAAAACCATTCTCATCAATGACTTTTACCATCAGCTAGTCGCTAGAACTCGGCACACTTCATTTTTATCAATCTAGAGTCATAAAATTAAATTACTAAATTTTTTATTTAAAATATTTAACTATGTAATATTATTTATTGTCTTTAATATAAGACCTAATTAATTTGTTTGCAGAGATTAATAAAGTTAATAAATTACCTAAAGTATTTATATTTATTGTTTTTTAAAACTAATTTACTACTTTTTATAAATTGATATATAATATAATAATACATGTATATATTTTAAAAAAATTATGTAACATATGTTACCATTAAATAATTTAGTAATTTTATTAATTTTTTTAAATTAGTCAATTACCTCTAAGAATAGAATGTAGTATTATTTTTATTTAATTATTGCTTCTAGGTTGTGTTACGTGTCTTCCTGCCATACTTCATCGGCCATGTGACAAACACGTGTTGGCGCCTTGTGATGGAGCTTAGAGCCGGGAAAACGGGCCGAGCCCGTCGGGCCGGCCCGTTTAAGCCCGTTTAAGTCAAGGGCCGGGCTTGTATTTTGGAGTCTTGAAAGGGAAGTCGGGCTTAAAAAGGCTAGTCCTGTAGGGCCGAAAAATAAACGGGCCGGCCCTGTAGGGCCGCAGGCCGGCCCGTTTAGGCCCGCCAAATTATTTTTTTTTAATTTTTGTCTTTTTTTCTTAACTTAAAAAAGAAAACCCTAACATTTTAAACATAGCATACTCTTAGTTTTACTTATCTTGACAGCTCACATAGATAGCATTCACAAAAAGAAAAAAAGAATCACTATAGTTGTGGGAAAAATAACCAAAAAAACATGAAAATTGCAAAATTTAAAACTAGTATATTCATAAAAATATTGTTATTTATAAGTTGTCAAAACCTATTAAAATACTGTATCTATAATTTTTACAGTCTTTATTTATCATTCTCCCATATTTTTTATACTTGAAATATAATTGATCAAAAAATCTTTTAAACTAAAATAAAGATCTATATCATTTTTATAGTAGAAACAAATTTAGAACTAAGAATGATGGACTCTTTTCTTTTTTGTCG